ACAGACAGACAGACAGACAGACAGACAGACATGTGAGCCCAAGCAGTCAGAGCCCAGAGGAGGGCCTCAGATGTCTTACTCTACTCTGCCTTATTCCTTTGAAACAGGGTCCCTTACGGAGCAAGACACCTTGTTTGGCTAGGCTGGCTGGCTGGCCTGTCTCACCTGGGAATGGTGAGGGCTATGGGCATAAGAAGCCACACGTGGCTTTTTACATGAGTTCTGGGCACTCCAACTCAGAACCTCATGCATGTACTGCAAGCATTCTTAACCAGTTATCCATCTTCCCAGCCCTTTGATCAGTTTTTGTTTGGTGGAAACTTAAAAACACCCTTCTCAATATCTGGATTATAAAATAGTCACTCTACAATCGAGCCACTGGTCAGTCACGTGCAAAGTCTCTTCCTTGGAGGTTCATATAGCCTTCCACCTGACTCTACCTCCTAACTTTTACAGTGGAAACATTTATCTTTCCTTCCTTACTTCTTTTTCTGTCTCTCTCCACCCTCCCCCAATCCCTTTTTTTCTCTTGGCTTTCCTCTTTTTAAGGCAAGACTTGCAGTGTAGCCCTTGCTGGCCTCAGACTTACTGCTGCAGTGTGTAGTAGAATATGATTTCAAGGTGTGCTACTTTCATTTAACTCTGTGAAGCTGTGATACTTTGCCTGTCTAACACACCTGATGGTCCAATAGTGAGGCAGGAGAAAGGATTGGTGGGGCTGGCAGGCAGAGAGAATAAATAGAAGGAGAAATCTGGGAGAAGGGATCAAAGAGGGAGCCAGAGAAGGAGGAGGACTCCAGGGGCCAGCCACCCAGCTACACAGCAAGCCATGGAGTAGGAGTAAGATTTACAGAAGTAAGAGAACAGGAAAAGCCCAGAGGCAAAAGACAGATGTGTTAAGGAAAGCTGGCTAGCAACAAACCAAGCTAAGGCTGGACATTCATCAATGAGAGTAAGTCTCTGTGTGTGATCTATTAGAGAGCTGGGTGGCAGGCTCCCCAAAGAACAAATGAGAAAAAACACCAGCAATAGTAGTGATCCTCCTGCCTCTGCCTCCTGAGTGCTGGGATCACACGGGCAAGCAACACTATACCTGTTGAGAATGATTTTCCTCACCTCTTGGTGCTTCCTTCCCTAGTAGACTGACTCCCTGCTAGAGCAGCACCCAGTCTCCCTCTTTCTCTCTCCTTCACTTGAGAAGGGAGTGATCTGTGTCTCTGCTTAAATGGCTTAAGAGGCCTGTGTTCTTTCCCATCCCTTTTCAGAAGCAAGATGCACACGACTGTATAACTCTGCTCTGTTCTTACAAGTCCTGTGGATAGATAGGCAGATTCTGCCACCTGGAGGGGAGGAAGAACATGGGGTCCTGGCAGAACAAGACTCGGAACCCAGGAGATCTAAACATCCAAGTGGACACACTAATGTGAAGGGCTCTCCATCGGCCCAGTGAGTCACCAGCTGGATCTAAGCTCCTTGAAAGTCAGCCCAGAAAAGAATCTTGTCTAGTTACACAGTGTGTGGTGCCTGCAGACCATGTGCACCAACAACCATCAATATCCCCACAGCGAAGCACAAAGAAAATTCTCCCCGGGACCATCACAAAGGGCAGTCTTGGAGAATACACTACCCAGTAATAAGCAGGGCCCATCTGCAACTTGTTGCTGTTGTTCAATAACCTTACAAGAGAAACTTGGGGGAGAGAGGGCTTCTTGTTTTGGCTCTTAGTTCCAGGGTATGGCCCGTCATGAAGTCAAAGCAACAAGAGGTCTCCTCATACTGTATCTACAGCCAGGAAGCAGGAGGAGAGGAATGCTTGTACTCAGCTAGCTTTCTCCTTTGTATGCAGTCTAGAACCCACGCCTAGGGAATGGTGCCGCCATAGCTATCATAAGTCACCAATCAGCTGAGCACCAGAGGACTTGATAACAAGCCAAGAAGAGCAACAGTTTACAGCTGGTGTATATCTGTTCCCAATAGTGTTATTTAATCTAGCTGTGAGGCAAAGACGCTTGTGTGACCAAGGGGACCAGATCCTTCCATGTACTTCAGGGAGACATCCGTAATATAATACTATACAGAAAGGAGTTAGAGATATGTGCCCTAACAAGCACTTAGAATCTAGCTTCTCAGTAGAGATTTACTACGGCTTACTAACTAACCTACACAATGCAGCCAGCTGTGGGTAACAGAAATATCATTCTGAGAAAACTAAGGCCCCCTGGCTAGCTGCCAGAACCCTTGTCCCTGCATGAGAGTCAGGTGTGTTAGACAGTGCGCCTGGATGATGCTGGCAGGAAGTGGGAGGCGTGAGGCTGCGGCTGGAAAAGGCTAACAAGTCAGGAACCCTGTGCACATGAAATCCGTGAAGTGCAGGCAGAGGGAGGTGAGGTACATGGTTCTTACATGTTTTTCCTTCTCGGACTTTCCAGTGAAATCGGTAACAATAGAACCAACAGGCGTGGTGACAAGAGCGACAGGGACAGCAGCTGTACCAGGAGCTGCACCAGGAATTGGAACAGCAGCAGCAGCAGCAGCAGCAGCTGCCTCAGGAGCAGCAGGTGCTTCAGGAACAGGAGCGCTAGGAACGAAGGCGGCACCAACATATTTCTTTGAAATCTTCTTTTTTAGCTTCGGTGATACACTGAGGGAAGCAGAAGGTGGCCTTATAACATGTCCGTCTTCAGATAACGTCACGCTCTTGGATTGACGACTTGAAGGCCGTGAGTAAAAAGCAGAATCTCTTCCCTTGGTTGTTTTCTGCCCAAAAAGAGTCAAGAATTACTCTTATTTCACCCCTTAGAATTGCCTACCACTTGCCCTCCCCCAAGCAAGAATCCCAGAGTGAGCAGGTTCATTTTCAGCGGATGTGACTCTGCCCTTGTTCCTAGTTCCACAGCCTACCCTTGCCTGCCTTGATTAGCAGCTGGGATTGAATGTCCCTGTAACCCATTGTTCTAGGAAAAAACAACAACAACAACATAGAAACAGGTGGACATTCCCTGGCAGCACCTGTAAAGATATAGGCCTTTTGAAGCTGGTGAGGTGGCAGGCTGAGCTTTGTGTCGAGGTGGGAAAAGGGCAAGGAAGCAGAAATGGGGAAGAAAGAAGGAGGAACTTGGGCCCTAGGGTTTGGAGCAGCCTCTCTGAGGGATGGCTTTCTGGTTCCACGGTTCAGCTTCTTCTTCCCCTCCCTACTTTCTTCATTTTCTATCTTCCACATTTCCACATACCCATCTTGTTTAACTTGCAGATGAGTTGTTTTTTTTTTTTTTTTCGAGACAGGGTTTCTCTGTGTAGCTTTGCGCCTTTCCTGGAACTCACTTGGTAGCCCAGGCTGGCCTCGAACTCACAGAGATCCGCTTGCCTCTGCCTCCCGAGTGCTGGGATTAAAAGCGTGTGCCACCACCGCCCAGCCAGATGAGTCGTTTTTAAAGAATTATTTAAGTGTGTGTGTGTGTGTGTGTGTGTGTGTGTGTGTGTGTGTGTGTGTGTGTGTGTTATGGTGTCCTCAGAGTTCAGAAGATGCTGGATCCTCTGGAGCTGGAGTTTGACATCACTGTGTGCTAGGGACCAGGCTCTTCTGCAGCAACAGTGTTTCCTACTCTTGATATCCAGCATTCTTTTAGACTCATGTATGAGAAAGCAGTGGCGTGCACAGCATCTTGAATGTAGAGAGACAGCACAATAGTAGAGATAGATAGATGATGATAGAGTCCATACAACCTTGGTGCTGATGCTGGCATACTTCCTTCTTATTTCCATGTCTTCTTTCTGCCTATTGATCTGTAAAAAACAAGGGCCATACCATCTGTTATCATTTGCAAAGATTAAAATGGAGAAATCGTTATAAAACATCTTAAACAGATTATATGCTGAATGATAATTAGAAAACAAACTTGTACCTTAAAATAAGAACAGAAATACATATAAGTGTGGCTATTTCAATTAGCATCTATTTACTGCTTTTTTTGTTGTTGTTTGTTTGTTTTTTTGAGACAGGGTTACTCTGTGTAGTTTTGTGCCTTTCCTGGAACTCACAGAGATCCGCCTGCCTCTGCATCCGGAGTGCTGGGATTAAAGGCTTGCTCCACCACTGCCTGGCTTATTGGACTGGAGAGATGGCTCAGCCATTAAAGGTTAGGCTCACAACCAAAAATATTTACTGCTTTTATGTATAATTGATTATATAGATTCATGTGTTGTTTGCTTATGAAGTGATATTTTTATACATCATTATAAGCCTTGTAATTAAAAAAAAACAAGATAATTTAACAGCTAAATCTCAACAATATAAAGGACAAAATTTTACTTTAAAAGTTAATACTGATTTCCAGGTATAAAAATAATTGTATCAAAATATTATATTAATGCATGCTTCAATAAAACTAAAATTCATATGAATTTTAAGTAATGCCAATGATTCCAATTATGACTAAACTTATTTGAAATTAAAAGTTGATGGGAAATGCATGTGACCATTTATCTCATTATATATGAAGCCTTCTCACTTTAAGCAGTAATTAGAACTCTATAGAAATGTGTCTTATAAGATCTTGCTCTCTGAGAGGACAGTCACTAAGGACGGCGAAGGTATATATCAAGCGGTAGCCGGGGCTGTGAAGTTAAACCTAATATTATAGGTAAGCCCTATTGCAACAGTGTAAGAATTGTTTTCTCCATAATCTTCAACATAGCCATTGTCAAATTCAATCCAGTTTCAAGGAATTCAAAAATTCCCTAGCATTCTTAAATAGCATTCATTCTGCTATACACAATGTGACCACGTCACAGTGGACTGCACCAGCCATTCATGATAAAGAAAATAGCTCTCGCGCCGGGCGGTGGTGGCGCACGCCTTTAATCCCAGCACTCGGGAGGCAGAGCCAGGTGGATCTCTGTGAGTTCGAGGCCAGCCTGGACTACCAAGTGAGTCCCAGGAAAGGCGCAAAGCTACACAGAGAAACCCTGTCTCGAAAAACCAAAAAAAAAAAAAAAAAAAAAGAAAATAGCTCTCAGGAAACTAGTAATAAAAGAAACAGACAAGCTATATACTTATTGATGAAGTAATGGCCTATTCTTCCACAAATCTAGGAACAAGACATAATTGCTATTGAATGTCATACTGGCAGTCTTACCTATTGTAATAAAACACTATAAGGAAAATAAAAAAGCACAAAGATAAGGACTTATAAACTTTGTTAACATACCAAAATCCAAAAGAATCTACAAAACTATGACTGTGACTAATAAATTAATCCATCAAGGCTTCAAGATACAACATTGATATAAAAGTAAACTGTACTTTTATTTATTTATTTATTTATTTATTTATTTTATTTATTTATTTATTTTGAGATAGGATTTCTGTGTTTAGCCCTGGCTGTCCTGGAACTTGGTCTTGTAGACCAGGCTGGCCTTGAGCTGATAGAGATTCACCTGCCTCTGCCTCCCAACTGCTGGGATTAAAGATATGTACCCCCACAGCCCAGACAATTGTGCTTTTTTATATTAATATTAAGAATTAACAATTAAAAATTGTAAAAACATTCCATCTACAACAGTTTAAAAGCTACAAAATAATTAGAAATAAATTTAACACAATAGGTAAAAATCTCAATACTGAAAATGACATATTGTTGGTGAGCATTAAAAGACCTAAAGGAATAGCTACATATCCCCATGTATGAATTGGATGATCTAAAGTAGGGTCTATTAGAATACCAATCTTTTCAACATAAACATTGTTTCTCAAAACCCGTATGAACATGGAACGTCTGCAGTCTTTCTGGTGAGTTTTGCCAGGGGAACCGCTGTACACTCTCTGAAGCCTTGCAAAGCTCTTGTAACTGGGAGCATAGCACTAGGGTGGGGACTGATATGCCGCTCCATGACAGAATAATCTAAAACACTCATTTGATTCCTTTAAAGACTCCACCGTGAGAAATCCAATGAAAGAAAACGTCTTTTCTGCAAATGATATTGTAATAAATGGATAGCCATTCAGAAAAAATAAGAAATTTCCCCCTTCTCTCACGTCATACAGAACAAATTATTTAGTGTGAATAGTATTCAACAAAAAGCTAAAATCAGGGAGGAGGGGCTTGGACCTGCCTCTACTGAATGTACCAGGCTCTGCTGACTCCCCATGGGAGGCCATACCTCGCTGGAGGAGGGAATGGGGGGTAGGCTGGGAGGGGAGGCTAGAGGGGCAGGAGGAGGGAACAGAGGGGGGATCTGTGGTTGGCATGTAAAATGAATAAAAAATTCCTTAATAAAACAATAATATATATACATATATAAATATTATATATATATAAAACATAAGGATTGTTTCCCTGAACAGAAACCCAAAAATTGGGCTTTAAAAAGTTTAAAGTGTGTGTGTGTGTGTGTGTGAGTTCAGAAGAAGATGCTGGATCCTCTGGAGCTGGAGTTTGACATCACTGTGTGCTAGGGACCAGGCTCTTCTGCAGCAACAGTGTTTCCTACTCTTGATATCCAGCATTCTTTTAGACTCATGTATGAGAAAGCAGTGGCATGCACAGCGTCTTGAATACAGAGAGACAGCACAATAGTAGAGATAGATAGATGATGATAGAGTCCATACAGCCTTGGTGCTGATGCTGGCATACTTCCTTCTTATTTCCATGTCTTCTTTCATCTCGGGGCTGGAGAGAAGGCTCAGTGTTTTAAGAGCGCTTCCAGTGGACCCAGGTTCAATTCCCAGCACCCACATGGCAGCTCACAACTGTTTGTAACTCCAGTTCCAGGGGACCCGACACTCTTACACAGCAAAACACTACTAATGCAAATTAAAAAGCAAGTTTAGTCACCAAACACATTATTGGTTCTCCAGTACCCATATTAGTTAGTGGCTCACAACTGCCTGTAACTGCAGCTCCAGAAAATTTCAGCGCCCTCTTCTGGCCTCCTTGGGCACCTGCACTCATATGTACTCCCCCATTACACATTATTAAAATTTTAAATAGTTTTTTTTTTTTTTTAATGAATGAAAAAGTACAACTGGGTAGAAAATATGTAGATCTATATATTAGAAAGGTTGCCATTTAGGAAACAGTTTATTGGTTGTGTTGTAGTGACATGTTTGGCTTTTTATCAACTACCAGATTTTGTATGGTTATTCAGTTTGCCAGCATTTCCTCACCAATGGCCAGCTCAGTGCTTTAAAATGGACAGTCGTTCTGAAATAAATTTGAAAAAAATTAGATATTCATATGCAATGTAATAAATAAGTGTGAGATCTTCTAATATGTTTTACCTAATTTCCCCAATAGAAACATTTTGCAAAGTATAGATAGTATAATATCTCTATCAGAAATTTGATGTGAACACAGTGGATGTAGGCATCACTGTCCCTTCTCTGACCTGCAGATAGGGCAAAGCCAAATGCTTGAGACTTCTGATTCTCAGACCATCTGTTTTCTAATTCTCAAGTGAATGTCAACAAGGCATGAATCCACACTAGCCAAGTGGCCCACACTCCTCTGACCTTATTTAGATGTTTTGTGTGTGTGTGTGTTTACTTCTATGAAATTTGATCCCATGCATAGGTTTGGATATGCTCTACTACAGTCAACAGTACAAAACAATCCCATGAGCCTGGGTTACCTTTTTAGAGCCACACCCACCGCTACCACACCCAGCCCCTCTCTCCCCCTCATCTTTAACCCTGACAAACACTGTTGTAATTTGTACCCAATTTCTAAACTGTATCTTTTCAAAATGTTATAAAAAATGGAATCGTGCAAAGGGTGTGTGCGTTACCCTAGTGGCCCTGCCTTTCCATCTAGCAGGACCCTCTTGAGGTTAATCCAAGTTGTTGCCCGTGTCACAAGTTTATTTCTGTTTTTTTGTGCAATTGTCCCGTGTGATGTAGAGAGCTCACAGTTCAATCATTCACCGGCCGAAGGGTGTAAGGGCTGCTTCTAGCCCTTAACTACTATGAGTAAAGTTAATGAATATTTTTGTGCATCAACGTAGGTGTTCATTTTCCTCTATGGAAAATTCACGAGTATGATTTCTTGGATGGTGTAATTACATGTTTAGTTCTTAAGAAATGGCCAAACTTTCCCTTATGTTATGGAGTTTTACTTTATTCTTGCCAACTTATTTACAGTTATTGCTATTTTCCTTTCTTTTTAAAAACAAACTATTTAATAGGATTGTAGTAGTGTCTTCCTGTGTCTTTAGCACAGCTTTCCCTCCTGGTTAACGAGATTGGCCATCCTTTCAAGGGAATATCTGTTTATGTCTTTTGACTACCTTCTAATTGGATTTACTACTGGGTTTTGAGAAATCTTTATGTATTCTAGATCCTACACTGTTGGTGGATATATGGTTTGAGAATATTTTCTCTCTCAAGTGTACAGTTTTTCTTTCCATCTGCTTCATGTGTTCTTTCACAGAGCAAAAGCTGCTAATTGTACTGACTTGGACTTGAGCGTTATGTATTCCTAGAAAGTTGTGTTTTGATGCAATACCAATATGGTATTGCACAAAGTGGAGACTTTAAGAGGTTACACACACACACACACACACACACACACACACACACACACACACTACATATTTTAAGATTTATTAGAATGGCTTATGGGCTATCCTCCAGCTAGTCCAACAATGGCTGTCTACCAATGGAGAGTCCAAAAATCCAGTAGTTGTTCACACCAGACTGGATGTCTCAGCTGGTCTTCAGAATATGCCAGAATCCTGAAGAAGTAGGCTTTAATGCCAATGAAGAAATGGACTTGCCAGTGAAAGCT